AAAAAAAAAGTGAAATTTTATATCGATCGTTAAATCAAGAAAAAAATCCATTTTTTTATAACGACCATCGGTATAACGAGAAAAAATCGTTATCGGATTATCGCGAATAAATAATTATAGCTGGTTTACAACCAGAGTTCAATATATGCAATATCGCGAAATTTATAATAAAATCAATATATAGTGATATAAGTGGTTTTGGGTTTATCGCGGATCGCTATATCGAGTTCTGACTGTATTTGCATTCTGTGTGCTTGTGTGCTTGTGCGACAACACGACAACGTCCTTCGAGCTCGCGCACGTTTAGTTAGAATCTGCTTTCTTTTATTATTATGGCGAACAAGGTGAGTAGGCACGTAATTATTGTTTGTAGTACTGGCATCAACAGCTCCTACGCTTGTATGGCCCTTCACATCCCTGTGGACGACATATGACCGATGCTTGGAAAGAGACTTCTTAGACACCTCGCAGGACGCTACGTTCCTCCTGTGTAGCCACGCTAAGGAACTCTTGACCATAATATTGTCTTGTCGATTTTCTTAACATTAAACTAGTTCTTTTAAGCACATAAGATCAACACTAATTATTCTGTTTTTTTTTTTTTTTGGAGGCTGTCTCCTCCTTTAAGAAAAAAGTATATTCAGAATGGCCGATTTCCGCCTGTCTCGATTTTGTTTCAGTAATAATGATGTAAATCCTGATGACATTGAACCAATTCTTGAGCATATGAAGAAGAAACTCCAATCAATCAGCGATGATCGAAACAATTTAGCTCGCGCGCGTCAAAAAGCTCTTTCCATTTACTCCTCTTTTGACAAGGCGATCAAAAGGCCCGAGATTCAGAATGTGCTTCAAACAATGATAAAGAAGGTAATTAGTGATTTTCATGAAGTTATGACTTATTAACAAGAGTACATATAATTGAGATGTTTTTTTTAGAGTTAGGTTGAGTCAAGAAAACGATTATATAGAGAAACGATGAATATAAGGGGAAATAGTGGATTCGCAAATTATTTAAGTGTTGACCAATATGCGGAACTCTTATCAGTTAAGCCTAAGAGAGATGCAAATATACCCATATCTTGGAGGAGAATTATAGAAGATTATTATACGGTACAGCATTTGTAAAGTGTGTAAAGTGGCTGTTTGTAATAACAATATTATTAATATAAATTTATGTTCGTATCTTATAGGACTCAATAAATGATAAGGAAAAATCAATTGATGATTGGGTTAGTGTAACAAACGATCTTATTGTAATAAGCGAGAAAGATACTGATAAGACGGCCCAAATTAAAAAATATTTATATAAAGTGATGTCACCTTTGTAAGTATTGGGCATTTGAAAGATGGTTGCTTTATTAATACTATTCGTTACTTGAAATGATTAACGAGTTTTTCATAGAATTGAATCATTTTGCAAACCTATTCCAGCAATAAGTGCGCACAACACCAGTGAACATCATTACTGGTCGGAATTTGGTCATCGCCTTTTTCTAGAGCATTAGATGATTTTATTGGACTTGGTTGGCGTGTGTAAGTACTGGTTTAATAAAAGCAAGCTCTATTACTTACATGCATTTAATAAGATTAATTCTTTTTCTCCTTAAGTATGGAGGCTCCTGTGCATGCATCAAAATATAGAAAAAATCACGGTCTGGATCATATAACTCAAAGTGTAGTTGACGGAAAGTTGGCCGATATATTAGCATGGACTGAAAGTGGAGAGGAGATATTCGTGGGCGAATAATCGGGGCCTCCAACAAAATTGGATTTAACAAAATTTGCGACAGATTTCTTTAAACTATACAGAGAGCTGAGAGACTGCTTAAACGTGCGGATTTTACACGCAATGGAGATTGGTGATACTAGCTATAGTAGTCGTGTTGTATTTGGTGTGTTGGGGCAATTATTCGAGATAAAGATGTTGCTTATGTGGAAGGATGGGGTATACATATATGAGGAGTTCGGATCCTTAACTATCGCATCTCATTGCAATAAAATATATACAATGAAGACAGGAATGATAAGACTATTAGAATTTATTGTAAGTTTTGTTTATCTTTCTTATATCTTCGATTGAATAAATTAATTGATACATTCTCAATTTCTTAATTATTATGTTGCAGTTTGTTATAAAGGATGAAGTTACAAAAAAAGTCGAAGCCAGTGAATATGCTAATGACAAAATACATTTGTTAAAAGAAAATTCAACGAAATTTTACCAACTTGTCCTTCGCCAATCAAAAAATCAAAACTTAAGAGGGACTAACATCAATTTTTTATAATCATAATCAAAATTTTTTATAGTTTATACTTAATGCATATACTGTATCTTTATACATTGTAGTAGTACGCACGTAGTTTTCTTAAATAATTCAATTTTTTCTCATATACTGTATTGATGCATTCATTCATCTTTGCTAAACTTATAAAACGAATTCTCACTAAAAAAAAGAATCCAATATCTCTGCATTTAAAGTTTTGAATTTAATCAATGAGACCCAATTCCCGAAGATGCTCTGGAATAACTACATATGGGTCTTCGTAATACCAAACGTACCTTAGTGCAATCCAGTTCTCTTCGCATAATTCTTTCTTGAGTTGATCCCGTGCTTGCTGTTTGTTAAAATTATTAGGATCGCCTCTATGAAAGAATTCTATATATCTTCTCCTTGCACTTCAATTGCAAATCCATATTCATAATAGGGAATATCGAGTTCTAATCCTTTAGGGTGCTTAGGAATTTTCAAGAAATCTGGTCTGCGATTTTCAGATGGTGGACCAAGATACTTTGCTACAATTTCTCGACATAATT